TGATCTTTCTCAACAAGAATAACCACCCTCTCCCCCATTCCAACACACACATACACACACAACAGGAAAGAGGCTTAAATAGATTTCTACAAAGAATACATCAACTGATGATAATACCAAAGAAGCATCCACAAAGGGAGAAAAAAGAAAATGACCAAGCTGGCATTTGTCCTGCTCATTCAGAACCCTGGTCAGCTATATTAAGTGGTTAAAGAAAAATGATAATCTAATCAGATATGCGTACTAAGAAGACTATTTGAAATATGGATTTGCAGCCACTGTCATTAATGATTTACCTCTCCTAAAGTACGCATCATGTCTTGAAAAATTATCTAATACCACCTGATAAGCAATTAAGGAGAAGGGTTAACGCAGAGGTTAGGACTGAGATGCTGCGTCATGGTTTAAATCCACTGCTCTGGTGCTTGCTAGCTGTGTGACCTTGGATATGTTACTTATCTAAACTGTTTCAGTTTGTTCCTGCTGCTGTAACATAGTTATCTTATTCTAGATAACTTAAAACAATACAAATTTTGTTTCTGACAGGCTGTGAGATTGAGTGTCTGGTGAGGGCTCTCTGCTGCACAGATGGTGCCTCGTGCTGTATTCTCATGTGGTAGGGGAGCAGAAGGGCAAAGGAGGCCAAACACACTTAGTCAAGACCTTTTAAAGCAGCACTAATTGCTCTCATGACCCAGTCCCTCATACAGGCACCATCTCTTTAATTTTATTACAGTGGGAATTAAGTTGCAATATGAATTTTGGAGTGATACGTTCAAACTCAAATTTTGTCCACCAAATTAATATCCTTCTCTTACACAAAATATACTTATTCTATTCAAGTAGCATCCAAAATTTTAATTCATGCCACATCAATGTTAACATCCCAGTACAAACCTAAATCTCATTTTAAGGGTGATACGGGTGAGACTGAGATATCCAAGGACTGACACTCCTATCCGAGGAAAATCTCATTCCAGATGTGGGCCGGTGAAATCATACAAGTTATGTGCTTCCTATACAGGTATAGTATAGACACTGCTGTTACAAATGGGAGATATAGGAAGGAAGAAAGGGATAGCTGTTCCCAATAGGGCAATCATTAAATTTCTAGGTTCTAGAGTAATCCTCTTTGACTCTATGCCTCACCTTCTGGAGACGCTGTGGTGGTGTTTGAGTTCAAAGGCAATGAGAGAGCATCCAGCCTCTCAGTCTTCTAGATGACTCCCCAGGTAGCTTCCTCATGGGTTGGTGTTGCCTGCCTATCGCTGTCCCAGGCTACATTGCATGTTGGTTCTGTGGTTATGTGGGCATTTAAGGTGACCCTATGTCTGCAACTCTGCTGTGGCTGTCCTGACCCTATGACAGTTCTTTCTGGCTCTCAAGACTGTATGAGAGCTCCTTAAAAATCTACATAGGGAAACCATGCCCTCATGTGTCATATACTCTGTAGTTGAATGGATAGCACCAGATGTTATGCTCCATGTGGATAGCACCAGATGTTAACATCTGTGCCTCCAGAGAGGAGGTCACTGCCATTCACAGCACACCTGTGTCAGTCACACACCTGTGTCAGTGCTCCAAAGAGCACTCTGCCCATTCAGAGAGCAGAGACTTGAAGTGGCTTGTGGGAAAGAGTACTGAAGTCCCATGGTAGGTTGTGGTCACTCTTTTGACATCATTCTTGCTCTTGAGAACTTGGTACTCTGATTTCGGATAAGAGTGTCAGTCCTTG